TTTCTCTAACATGCATGTTAGGCTGATTGTTAACTCTAAATTGTCACTAGGTGAGAGTAAGAGACTGAATGGTTGTTCATCTCGTTTGTCTCTATGTGGCCCTGTGATGGACTGGTGACCCGTCCAGGTTGTCCCCCGCCCCTCGCACAGTGATGCTGGACATGGGCACCGGCGGCCCCCATGACCCAAAATGGAAGAAGCGGATAAAAGATAATGGATGGATGGATGGATTATTATTATTGTGGGTATTATTATTAGGGCTGCAACAACTAATCGATAAAATCGATAAAAATCGATGATTAAAAGCGTTGGCAACGAATTTCATTATCGATTCGTTGTGTCGCACGATTATGTGTCTTTCACGGCGCTGCGGAGTCGTTTCGTTTTGTTTACAGGCAGTTCATTGTCAATGCTGACAGACTGAATAAAGTTTGGAAAAAAAAAAAAACTCTGCAGCGCGAGTTGAACAGAGCGAGTGGGGAGAAAAGCAGAGTCTGTTTTCAAAGGAAAATAAGTAAATTTTACAAATGACCGACGCAGAGAAAACTGTTCGACCCAAGTCCTCCAAAGTGTGGGAGAACTTCACAAAGATAAAAACTGAGAAACATGCCGCTTTGAAAATCACCGACACAACACGGGAGAACCACGGAGATAAAATGTAAACATGTCGGAGTCACGAGGAGGAGGAAGGAGCTGCAGCTGATACAACTCTTCATGTGTTGCAGGTGAGTCTCTACAATTTAACACATTGTTCTGTTTCCAAGAGAGAAAACGTAACGTCAGTCTGTCTGGTAGATGAAGCTGCTTGTTTGTTTGTTTTCTGATTAATGACGGTGATAGAGAACGTGTGTTACTTTTTATTTAATTTAATTAGTACAAGCAGTGTTTAAATGTGATTTATAAATAAATCGAACACAAAGATAATAATTTAATGATTAAGCTTCAACTTTTAATTTGCTGGCAAAGTCTGAAGACACTGCATGTATGGCAGGATGAATTGCATTTAAACAGGAATTAAAGTAATTTATTACATCTACACAAATGTGTGTAATTAAGTATTTTATATATATATGTGTGTGTGTGTGTGTGTGTTTAAATGCTCTTTAAGCTACTTTTGCATGAACCTAACACTGTAAGTGAAACAAGGCATGTCTTGAGTTGCTGTAAATTATGCTATAATACATATTTACTCTCTCATTCCACAAAACAACAACAAACAACAACAGCATTCATGATGGACGGACATCATGGACACCACAGCAGCAGCTGTCTTCACTGAAACATCCTTAAATGATCGTCACTGACATGAGGCCTCTGTCGATGGTTGAAGACGAAGGCTTCACTACAATGATCCACACTTTTAATCCAGGTTACAATAATCCACACTTTTAATCCAGGTTACACTCTTCTCTCAATGACACATTTTACAAAGTAGCTACATATTGTGCAGGTATAAAGATACATTTGTATATATGTTTGTGTACATTTGTTTTTTAAACTATTTCAATAACTTTTACTTTTTTTATTCAATATTTTACTAACAGAATAGTCAAATAGCAACCTGTTTTTTGTGTGAATTGCTATGTCAGTCAAATGTTCAATTTTGGAATAAAGGGGTGAAAATTAAAATGTTGTGGGGTTTTTTGCCGATTCATCGATTAATCAAAAAAATAATCGGCCGATGAATCGATTATTGAAATAATTGATAGTTGCAGCCCTAATTAGAATCATTGCAAAAAGAAAAATTGACATGTGAGGTATTTGGAAAACACAAAATAGATTTTTTTTTTTTTTTTTTAGGTGAAAGTGGTAGATCTATGAGAGCAACAAAACTCTGATGTTCATAAGAAAACAACTTCTTAAGCTTCACCATAAATTAGTGGGAAAACAGTTTCGGACATAAATTGAAAACTTGGGATTTTTTTTTTCCTGAAGGAGCCATAACATCAGCTCTTAGGCTTAAATCAGTCTATAATCAGGAAGAGGCCTCAGTTGAACCGGAAATTATTTAAACTTAAGGAGGAACAACATTTCAACTTGTAGCAAAAATTAGGAACTGATCATTCTTGGAGGATAATCAATCAGCTACTTAATTTAGCAGGAGAAAACACAGTGTTTCCCCTGCTATTATACAAACAGGGAGCCCCACCCTGTCAACAGAACAGAGCGCCCTGCCTACTGAAATCCTCTTCCCGCCCACTGCAGCAAGTTATGGTCGGGGAGCAGGGATTGTTGCAAAGAACCGGTCACCACAGGATAAGTGGCTTCGACCTAGCATTAATAACGTAGCGCTCTACTAATACCCCCCACTAAAACTTACCTGATGTTGGAACATCATCATTATTCTATTTAAAATAATTTGTGGTTTTTTTCCCCTTTGGTATGGATTTATCTTACAGTAAAATCAGTGGGACCATATGGAGCTCATGAGCTGAAATCACAAGTATTTCTTCTTGTTGAATTTAACTGGCATGTAAAATTTTATCTTTTTCTGTATGCATAACACACAAGCAATGATGCTACTCTACCTTGCAAAAAGAAAAATTGTAATGCATAATTTAAAAATATAAACGTATAATGATGTCTTTCCAATTAATTTGCAACCTCAATCACCCCCAAATTTTTCTAGATCCATGTATCAACAAACTGATTCAATAATAAAAAAAAAAATATATCATTGTTTCCCAAGTACCTGGACAGCTTGTATCATCTTGGCCACCTCCACCTTTGTTTTTCCTTTCACTGTTTTCCCATTCACACCTGTGATTTCATCACCTGCTGCCAGAGTCCCATCCAGAGCTGCTGGGGTGTTGTCAAAGACCTGGGAGACAAAAGTAACCACGCTAAAAGGTCTATAGAAATAAATCTTTTAAACTTAGTTCATCAAATGGATTTTTACTTGCATTTAAACTCTTAACAGTGTAATTATTCCAAATATTATGTATGCTTTGGACATCAAATTTGAAACAATGGGAAAATATGAAATTACAGATGTTACATTGTAATATTGTTTCTATACCTACCTGAACAATATAAAGGCAAGGACAGTACTGAGCTCCACCTCCGATGCTGATGCCGATTAGATTATTAGCATCTTTCTTCAGGGTCACGGTACCCGGCACTGTTGGGATCCCTCTGGTGAAGTCAAAAACACACAGAAAGTGAGTTCAAATCAGCACATTAACTCACATCATCAGCAATTTTTAAAGGATTTCGTAAGGACGTAAGAAAAGACGCCAATATTCCTACACACATTACTGTGAAAATAATTATTCAAACATTGTTAAAAACACAGCTCACTCACAGCTTGTCCTCCTCCAGCTCATAGTCCATGTCTGTGAACATTGTAGGACAGACTCACCACTGTCCCTGGGGAAAAAACACAAAAGTCTAGGTGAAATTGTTAACAGCACAGTCTGATATCTGACTAAGCAAATGAAAATCAGAAAGTGAAAGAACATTTCTCACTATGGACTGAATTTATGTATGTGGTGTGAAAGTAAATGAAGTTATTCTGCTGAGTGAAGCACATCGGCGCAGTCAGCTCGGCTCTCCATCAGACTGATGCTGTGACGGAAGAAACCATAGCTCTGGGCGGCAGAAACAGCTGGTAAATAATAACTCATGCTGTCTCAGAAATACGACTCCGAATGGGTGTATTAAACTATAAACTTGTGCGCAAGAAACAACCAGAGAGTTATTTCATTGTAGTGACGGACGTTAAAGAGAAAATTTATTGCTAACACCACTTAGCTGCTAGCTGTGTAGCCGTCAGACAGGTGCACTAAAAATGGCGCTGCTCATAAATATCGTAAATTGTTTACCTTTATTCAGCGTCGTACAGCTTTGTTCTATATGTGCCAATTTCTATGCATCAAGTCCAAATTTCCCGAGTTGAGCCTTATTTTACAATCACATTAACTTCTGAATCAGCTCCTGTTTACTTTATTTTGTCACTTCCTGTAGCGTAGCGGAAGTTGCGGAGAAGGCTGGTCTGCTGCCACCTGGTGGTCAGAGTTAGAACAGCAAAGTCATTTATTTATTAGGCAAAACTGGTGCAGTAAAATGTGAAGCTGGCTAAAATGGGACTTTTTGGAGAAATTTATAAATAAAATTGTCAAATAAGTACAGATGAAATCCATTGATTTATGAGTGGGCATGTATATTTTAAAAATTTTATATTAAAAATGGGACAGAGACTGTGTCCCATTTTTAACATTTTAAATGTACTCTGTCACAGAGTACATTTTGCAATTAGAAAATTCCCTCCTGAGCAAAGACACAATTTTAAGGTAAAATAGAGTAGGGTTCAATTCAAATGAGTGAACATTAAAAAAATAAAAATTAAGCTAAAAATGTTGCATGTTTTGTTTTTTAAAAGACAGCAACCATCTGTAATGGTTTGCCAGATTTGAAAAACTATTAAATCATTTAGCAATAGACAGCACAGTGGCATAGTGGTTATGTCATAGTGATCATCAACCTTATGATAGTCCCCTATCAACAAGAAGGTCACAGGATCACCTCTCAGCCTGTGGCACTTCTGGATGAAATTTGCATGTTTCCTCAATGCATGCATGGGTTTTCTGTGGTTTTCTCCCACAAACTAAAAGCATGCATGTTATGGTAATTGGTGACTCTAAATTGTCATGGTTGTTTATCTCGTTTATCTCTGTGGTCCTAAAATGGGCATGCAACCTGTCCAGGGTATACCCTGTTTCTCACACAGTGACTGCTGGAAATAGGCACCCACTCCCTGCAACTTGGAAAGGATAATCACAGTTCTTGGTTAGTAAAAGGCTTCCAGTCTAGAAAAAAAACTAAAATAACCTTTGTCCACATTGATTCATGTTACTCAATGACTGTTTAGGGATCAGTATTGCTGGTTGTTTCATTTTAAAAAGAAGTTGTACAGTAATGATTAAACTGAATTATAATGGCATTTAAAACGTCCTTTTGTGACAGTCAGGATGATGATGATGATAGTGATGTTGAGTCATATTGTCAGTGTTAAAAGTCATGTCATGTGATAATCTTGTGTCATAGAATAAAAATGTGAACATTGACTGTCACACCACCTACTTTTTGTCTCCCAGGAAGTAAAGCAGTCTGTGTGTAACAGTAAATTTTCCTGCCTCTTCCACAGCTGTTGAGTAGCATCCAGTATGAGCATGGTAAGTTCAAATCTGTGCGTGCTTTTGTGTTATGTTGTATTTTTATATCCTAGATGATTTGCACCTTGTGACCTTTCATTTGCAAAAATCAAAAAGTTTGCAAATAATATATTTGAGTGAGCACCAATGACTAACATCATTTTAACAATATTGTTTAAAACCCTAAACATCACAATTCTTTTTTCAGACACTTGAAATGAAGAATGTGAGCCTGAGAACAGGTGACAAGCTGAAAGTAAAGGGGGAAATTCTGCATGATGCTGAGAAGTAAGTTAATAATTTTTTTATATTTTATTGTAAACCTTTGCAAGCCTTTCAAAGAATTATGTGCTCTTTGGGCTACAAGGTATCAGCTGATGCACAAATGAAGTGTTAAACTGCTCATTAAATATCAACAAATCAGAGTTCAAAAGCAGGAACTGGAAGTAGTAACTGCTCCCAGTCTTTATTGCTATATATATATATATATATATATATACACACAAACCGGATTCCAAAAAAGTTGGGACACTATAAAAATTGTGAATAAAAACTGAATGCAATGATGTGGAGATGGCAAATGTCAATATTTTATTCGTAATATAACATAGATGACAGATCAAAAGTTTAATCTGAGTAAATGTAACATTTTAAAGGAAAAATATGTTGATTCAAAAATTCACAGTGTCAACAAATCCCAAAAAAGTTAGGACAAGAAGCAATAAGTGGCTGGAAAAAGGAAATTGAGCATATAACGAACAGCTGGAAGACCAATTAACACTAATTAGGTCAATTGACAACATGATTGGGTATAAAAAGAGCTTCT